CTGCATCAGCTGTTTCTACGTTCACTCGTCTATTTATCAGCAAGCCGTTGTCTGTTGAAAAGAAAAACACACAAACCACCATCAAATGAATTAACAAAAATGAATGCCTAACTGCAGATTATGCCTTGTGCCCTCGCGGTTATAGCTACAGCAAATTTTAACAGAACGAAAGTTATCTATTTCCATCGTAACACATTGCTGAGCAATGGATTAGAAGCACTCCATGGCATGGGTAATCGTATACAAATTATCCAATGCACTATAGACATAGGTGCGGAGCCCAATTATTTAGCTGACATGCCTAAATTCCCCACTTCTTGATTTTCGATGATAAAGAAATTCCATTTATATGTCTCCATCGCTACTTTCTCACTCAATACGTTCTTAAATTTAGTTTTATATAAGGACAACCAGTTTCCCTCGTTAGATCACTATAATTGACAGTAACAAATCCAAATAAACAATTTTACCTTTTCTTGTTTTTTTTTTCGCTTGGTTTTTAAAGCGTCTGGTAGACCTGGAAAAAAAAGCATTGATTTCATTTAGTTTAGGACACATTAGACGCCACTGTGTGCTTTTTTACTGATTTTCTAAATCTTACAATCTTATCATAACAGTAAATTTCATGTCTAATAGTTTTCTTGGAATAAAATGTCCGTTATTGGCAGCAATCCATTTATTTAGCCATTCATGACAATGTCATATTCCCCCGGCTTTCCAGGTAGGTGAATTGTCCATGTGTACTTCGTGCCAAGAAGTTGTAAGCAACAATAAGATAATAAATTTCTTGACTTGTCTTGTGTAAAGGTCCTTTCATCTAATTCCTGAATTCAACTTTACAGTAATCTCAATAGCACTGAAAAGTAACTAATTTTAGCAATAACTACGTACTTTTGACTTCGTCTTTGCAGTAGCATGATCCCATAGCTCCTCACCCATGAGAGTAAAAGCAGTTGTAAACATGCCTAATAAACAGGAAATTGAAATGTTTTAAACTCTAAAATAGATTTAAAAGAGAATGTGACGCCTTTCCTCATTCTCTGTCTGTAGATGAAGCTTTTCTGGCCTTTTCCAACAGAGCAAATGAAGATAATTAAAAATTTCCAGTGATGTTGGCGTGTACAGATG